GTCCTGAAACATTCGTTTCACTTAAAACTCTGGTTGTAGCTAACTTTGCTCGGAGAAAAATGTCAATTTTCCAGATTTATTGGTTTGATGGCATCGATCCACGAGCCAATGATGCTGCTACAGTACGCCTTCTTGTTTCGATGATCGATAGTGTGATTCAGCATTTCAAAGGACGCTTACCACCGTATGACATTAGTGGAAGATCCAGAGTACGTGTAGTTTTCAACAGACTAGGGATGATATTTTCTCTAATCGGTATCAAAGGCAAGATTCAGAAAAAACCTTATTCCCTGTTGAGGAAGCGGTCAAAGCACTGGTGAACATTTGAGTTCCAATTGAACAACGAAGTTTCAAGATAGACGTTGAAAGTGCAATGTAAATAATCAGCGGTTGACAAATTCTTTTCTGGAACGCACCGTGTCTTCTACCTACGTCCAAAATCGGAGTCACGTTTGAACTGCAGAAGCCAATGTTTTATCCTCTTAGCAGCTCTGGCACCAATTAACCGATCCTAGCGAATGAAGGGCTTGGTTGACCTGGATCAGATTTGATCTGATCCCTTGACCGCTGTAACCGCTGTGGCACATGTGGCGTCTGTGTCCACTCAAACGACGTGCTCTTTCACGTTTTCCCTCTCCTCGCAGCACTGTGCCTATCAGTCGTACTACGGTCGACCCCACGGGAAAGGATCTCACTATCGGTCTTTTCTATGGTCTCTTTTTCTTTTCCCTCAGCTCCGCTTCGTACCTCTTGTTTCATTTTCGAGCGAAAATTTACAGCAGCTTGAACGCAATCTCTTGGAATGATTTTTACCAGGAAAGTCTTTCAGGACATGGAGCGCTTTGCCAAAACGATTTGTTGCATGTCATAGGGGCACGTGCGTGGAGCATCAAACTAATGATCATTTTTTTGAGCGGCCCTGAGGAGCCAGAAAATGGGCAAAAAATTTTCCTTAGGACCTTTTTAACACATTGCGGACCGCCGTTATACGAGGACCTCCATACCTTTTTTATGTTTTTAGAAAATGAATCATCATTAATCTATCAACAATTTTATCAGTGATGATACTTACTTTCCTGGCTCTGAAAATGAGTGCAAACACTTCAGGAAGCATTGAAAAATGCCAAATAAATCGGATAAAACTATGATCTTCCGCCTGAAATCGTGCGCCACATGGTGGCGCACGCGGTACGCAATGTGTTAATAAAGTATTCCGAAAGCGTCGGAGTGGTTAGCTATTTCTGAAAGCCGTTTTGTCGCGAGTAATTCAGAAACATACATATATGAGCCCAAGCCATCGGAACCAGAGAAATGCAATTTGTCTCAGCGGGATGAGACTCAGCACTGAATTTCGGGGCGATGGTTTTGTTTCTCAGTCTCAAGGGAGCCACCTCGGGAGGGAAAAAACATGGTGTGTCCCAAGGTTTTATGCTCCGTTGCGTGCGTACTCTATAACCTGCAAGGAACCGCGTTCTGAAGCGCTCCATATCTGAAGACTTTCTGTTAGGCCGATGTCAGACTTTGCGAATCGCGCGATTCGCTAGCGTCCGCGGTCGCGTTGCGGTACCAGCCAATTGAGTGATTCACTGGCCGCGACGCGACCGCAGACGCTAGCGAATCGCGCGATTCGCAAAGTCTGACATCGGCCTAAGTAGGGAAGTCTGTCAAGCAACGAGAAATAGTGCGTATACAGTGAGTCTGAAATGAAGGAATCCCGAAAATGTGCTAGTTTGTGACTCGCTCTCTGAACTCTTCGCTACAAAATCCCTCTGAATTCTATTGCAACCCTTTGAGGAATAAATACACTGGTGTGCTATTAAAGGCACAACCCAGGCAGAGGTTTTTTGAAACTCTTCTCTTCGGTCAGAAGTATAGAACCCTAGGGGACAATCACAAATGTGGCGTTCACGTGCACGGAATTCGACCGACAAGAACGCTTTGGGCTTGCAAAGTAAGCTGCTCGAGCTGCAGCGAACGAGCTCTCTTATCAGGCCGTTGTCTGGTGCTCTCTCATCTGATGCGCTCTCTCGCCCCATACTCTCCTCTTCGCGCTTAGTCTCTCGTTCCTTTAGCACAGCCAATTAGGAAGGTGAGTGAGCCCTCAACCTGAGCGTTTTCGACGGATTCTTTTCCTTTTTTCTTCACTGCCGGCCCACTTGGCACCGATACATTCACATTCGTGTGCAAGAGCCACACCAGTGCGATCCTGGGGCATGCCTTTAAAGACGATACCTAAATCTTTTGACGTGTTACTGCACGTACTTAGCTCTGCGGAACCTAACCACACATAGAAAAAAATGCTCCAGTACAATACAAAAAGCAAATGATAGAACCCGTTAAAAGGTCCACAAAGCTATCATATAATTCCAGGTACTCACTACCTGGTCCTCAGTTTGTACGACGCAGTGTACTTTCACGATCCCCTCCAGCACGGCTCCTACCTATGAAAATGTGTCCAGCGCAGGAACAATTAACAATGGGGCTCAGTTATGCTTTTGTTGGAGATGAAATTGTCTGGCACCTCAAAGTCTCTAGAACTGTGCCCTACAGCAGGGATTTGTATAGTTCCTGTGTGTTGTCTTGAACCATGACAAAAGGACCAACAAAAATCTGGCAAAAACTATGAACGATCTACTGTGGTTGCTGGAAAACTGCACCGGTAATAGACAGTAACTTTACTTCTTGCGCTCGAAACTCCACTCCGAATCGGCAGAAAGCGATTGCCTAACTTCTTATTTCTTAGCTTTCCAGGCTATGCTTGCAATCTATCCTGGGAATGGTACACGCTATGTGAAGCACGTTGATAACCCGGTAAAGGATGGTCGGTGTATAACCACAATTTACTACTGCAATGAGGACTGGGATATAATAAAGGTAGAGTTGTCAGAAACTTAGGCCGATGTCAGACTTTGCGAATCGCGCGATTCGCTAGCGTCTGCGGTCGCGTCGCGGCCAGTGAATCACTCAATTGGCTGGTACCGCAACGCGACCGCGGACGCTAGCGAATCGCGCGATTCGCAAAGTCTGACATCGGCCTCAAGAAAGAAATAGACGCGAGTACCGTAGTCGTACAGCCGTAAGCATACCAGAAGCCATTACGAGCTTCAGAAGTATGTGAATAGAAATGTTATTCATCACATCATTCGAAACATTCAATTACAGCCCGGCGAGGAACTCTTCGTCTCTATCCGGAAACCTCAATGATACCAATGGATATCGATCCAAAGGCAGACCGCCTTGTGTTCTTCTGGTCGGACAGACGTAATCCACACGAAGTGATGCCGGTATTTAGACCACGGTACGTGAGAGTTGCTTTCGATTTGTGCTACTTTCGCTGGGCACAACAGCGCTATCCCAGTGTATTGAGGCGTACCGCCGTGTGTTTGGCTAAGTGGGAATTGTGAAGGTGGCTGAATACGCATTTGGCCACTACAAAATGCTTTGGATAGCTGTATCGAAAGGCACAATTTGACCGGCGGATTCGAGCAATTTAGCTGGCCCGATAACTCAGCCAAACTTCCGGGTGAAAGGGGGGGGGGAGGGAAGGGGTCGCTAATTGGTGACCTGTCGTGGCGCTCTTCTCAGTAGCTACATATACCTTTCCGTTCGCGTACTCCTATGTATGTCTTTTGGAAAAGGCTTCTAGTTCTATAGCTCGCGTGAGAGAGTGCTTTTGAGAATGGCTAAACGGTAACTTATTAGTTAGAGGATTTCTCCTTATGCGGCAAAAGTAACATCTGTGGTAAAATAGGAAAATGAAGCTTGTTTCAGATTCGCCGTTACCATTTGGTATATGGACCGTGAGGAGCGGCGAAAAGCTATAGAGAAACAAGCGCAAGAAGCAGAAGAATCGGATGCAGCCAAGCAGACCAACGAACGTTCTTCGTAAGAATGATCCGCACCTTGGGCTATGCCTAATTGTGGCTGCTCTTCAAATGTAGTCCAAATGATGCCCCTCCAAATGAATCGCCGACTCGAAAACCTCCCCCCCCATCGAACTGTATTTTTTGCAAATAAAGAGCACGGGTCCAGGGAAGACTGGTATGAGGACAAAAGGAGTAGTTTGTCGAGAATGCTATATATGTAAGTGGAAGCGGTCTCAGTTGCCCGCTTTCAAGCCGGAACAGAACATTTGCGACTTTAGGACCAACTCTATCCTACCCATCAAAGGACTGATTTAGGAACTCATCCTAGGGTGTGCTTTTCATTTGTTGCTTATTTCCATCACGAAAATTTATGGAGTTCACTAACTTCCACTCCTCGCTAGTTTTGTGTATTTATCTCCGGGTGTGGTTCACTAGGACAGAAAGCGACTTTTTCGCGTTTCGCAGCGCGAAACATTTTCCGCTGCGGGAACCTCAGGTCCACCGCTGATCATCAGTGGACCCGAGGTTCCCGCAGCGAAAAATCAGTGGACCCGAGGTTCCCGCAGCGAAAATGTTTCGCGCTGCGAAACGCGAAAAGTCGCTTTCTGTCCTAGTGACCTTTTATCTCAATTTTGGGAGCAAGAAATGATGTGAAATAACTGCCATCTCTCTCATGTTCAACATTGAATGTTAAAAAATTCGACTTCTACAGGCAGCAACCCCGCCCCCGATTCAACGTCTTGGAAAAGATCATATGCAAATGTTCCCAAGTGCTTCGTCTGAGCCGTCGCTCGCTAACATGGAACACTCGGATCGCGGTGAGTTTTATGTGTAATATACTGTTCGATCGATGCCTTATTGCATTTATATTTTATAAATTGATGAATTTATTGAGGAAGGTTCAAAAGTTCCGAAATGAAATCTCTTGCCTTGCCTTGTCTTATTATTGCCGAGAGAGCGCTCCAGACTTTGTGGAGTGGACTTTAGCGCGTAGATCATTCGCTTTCTACGAGACTTTTCGATAGGAGCGTGGGAATGCCTTTCCACTTTTGCTTGACACAACCGGTACCTCCTCCCTCATCAACCAATCATAATCCACAGTCTGCCATCTACAGGCGTGAACTGCCACGAAGGCGGTCGTTGCTCTGTATAAGGCCTTCCTAGATCGCAGCCAGCGGTGTACGCTGCAAAAGCGCCATGCTTCTTTCCCCTATGAGTGTAACTTCCCTGCATGATGGGCATATTTTCTCTTCTGCAACACCCAAATGATGGCGCTACCTGCCTTTAAGTCTTCTCCGTCTAAGGTATAAGAAACTCGGCTACCGAAAGGAGGCCCGTCGCGCGGCGAGAAGGCAGAGACGCAGACGGGTCAGCGGACGAGTCGCAGCGCGTATTGTGCGATGGGACGTACTATAGTACATTCTATTAACTGACGCTAAATCGCTACAGTACGCGCTGCGACTCGTCCGCTGACCCGTCTGCGTCTCTGCCTTCTCGTCGCGCCACGGGCCTTCTGTCGGTACCCGTCGGTCATGTTTTAGAAGAACCACCTCGCTGCCCGTTTAGGGAATTTCCTTCTATAAGTCTTGGAGATCTTAGAGACCATAAGTGTGATCATGTGATTGTTGCAGATGGCAGCAACAAAGTGCCGGCAGGTCGTGAAGCTGGTGCAAGTCAAGGAGTCGTTGTTTCTGCTCCTCATGCCATCAGGAACACGACCATCCTAAGAGCTTCCAGCATGAATTCAATCAGCGACGAAGACGAGGA